CATTTTTTGTTTTGTTTTTGCTTTTGTTCTTTTTTCATTTTTTCCCCCTTCACATTGGGTCCTCATACTTTTTAATCTTTGGTACTGGAACCTTATTTTAAAAAATTGAACTAGACCTTCAAATTCCCATTGCCTTGACACTTGGGGTCTCTATTCTAAAATTTTGGAAAATTTAAGCAATTCTTTTCACAACTCAAGTTAGAGAACTTGAATTAAAAAGTAAATTTATGTGAGAGAAAATACTGTAATAAACAAATTATATTTGAATTTTTATGAAAAAAGTACTGTAGCAAAAATTTAAGTTGTAATTTAAGTTGTGAAAAGAGTGGGGTCTTAGTATAGAAACTCTCATTCTTTTTAGTATACACTAGTTGAACTGCACGTAGGGAGTAATCTTTGTGTTAAGTTTTGATTACCACATTATTATTTCTTTTAATTCATTTAATAATAAAGATGTTGTTAGCTAGTTAATCAAATAATAACTAAAACAAACATCTTTACCAGTACCACTACTAAAATAATAAGGATTATATAGAAAAAATTAAATAGAGACACATCTAAAAAATTGATTTCAATGTGAACAATCGATGACAAAATTATTTAAAAGAATTACTTTAAAAAAGGATTACATTACAAAGAACATTTTGGCAAAGCGAAAATAAAAAAGGGAAAAAAATTGAACATGGGCACATATGAAAGAAATCATGTTAGTAGGAGCAAAGTACGAGAAAAATCGCATCTTAAAATTACACAATAAAAACAAATTAGAGAGAATACTTGTGTTAAAAAATAATAGTTACAATTAAATAAGGCATAGTGGAAGGGAAATGTGTATCAAAATAAAGTTTTGGGAATGAGACACATTTAAAAGCATATAAGATCTAAATATAAAATTCTAAAAAGGAACCAGGATGAAAAAAATAAAGTTTTAGACAAGCAACAAAAAAAAGACTAAAATGAAAAATTAAATAAGCTTTAAGGCAAGGAACCAAAATGAAAAAATAAAATAAAATAAAAAATTAGGGTGAGAAGCAAAAAAAAAAAAAAAAGAGGACCAAAATAAAGAAATAAATAAATTTTAGGACAAAAGGAACCATAACGAAAAAGAAATAAAGTGCTAGGGTAAAAATAAAAAAAAATAAAAAAGGACCAAAATGAAGAAATAAATAAGTTCTAAAATAAAAGGAAACAAAATGAAAAAGCAATAAAGATTCGGGGTAAAAATAAAAAAAAGAATTAAAATGAAGAAATAAATAAATTATAGGATAAAAAAAATTGAAGGACTTAAAAGAGGGGGGAAGGGGTTCACTTTTTTGACAAAATGATAGGACCAAAATGAAAAAATAAATATATTTTAGGGTAAAAGGAATTAAAATGAAAAAGAAATAAAGTTCCATGGTAAAAAATTAAAAAAACATAAAATAAAGAAATAAATAGGTTTTAGATAAAAGAAATCAAAATGAAAAAGAAATAAAATTTCATGCAAAAATAAAAAATAATTAAAAAAGGACTAAAATGAAAAATAAATAAATAATAGGATAAAAAAATAAAATGAATAACTTAAAGAAAAGAGGGAGGGGTAACTTTTTCGACCAAAAACGTAGCCCGTTTTGGTAAAAAAAAAAAAAAAAAAGTGAAGCGCTATTCACACTTCTAATATTATAGATTATAGATTATTAGATTTATTTGCGTGTGAATTTTTGTTTTATTTATCTGAGTTAAATGGCATTATAGCTGAATTTTTGACGGCTTTCTAACAGCGCAAGTCCCCAATTTTTATTTTTTTTATGGAAAGGACCCAAGACTTGATGTGATGATTATGTTTTTCTTTTGTAAATTATGATGATAACTTAATTACATAAAGGGCGTAACGATCTATCCAAGTAATCATGTTATAAAGTTTATGTGTCCAATAAAAAAGAGAGAAAAAACTAAAAACAGGAATATATGACTAAAATGAAGAGTGAAAGAAGAGGATATTCTGAATTTTATATATTAGAGGAAGTAAAATTTCCTTTAATTTGCATAAATTTGTCTAACTTTAAAAGGATTGAAATTAGTTTATCTTACACATAAAGAATCTTAAATCTCTCACAAGATAAGTTTTTTTGACTCTTCAATTTTTATGTCTCAATTAATGTCTAATTAATTACAATAGCTCATGTCATTCAATAGATATAAATATCAAAATAAGAAAAAGTTTTTTTTTTGCTTGAAAAATGGGAAAAAATTAGTTAAAAAGATATTTTAATTTTTAAATTGTGGTACATTTTGATTGATTAGACACAATTTATATACTAAAATTGGAAAGGTAATTTGAATCCTTATTCTATTACTTAGCTATCCTACCAAGTAACTATAAATCTAAAAGATTACATGCTAATCTTCCCATTTACTTATTCTCTTAAAAGTTTTCAAATTTATTTTATTTTCAACTTTTATCTTACATTCAAAATAAATACGAAAAGCAAGAAAAAAATTTATACAATGAAAATTTTAGGATACTGAAATAAGTATTTTAAAACACTATGGTATAATTAATTTGTGAGTTCGATTTGTGGCGATTTGAACCTTTTTGGTTCAAAAACTATAAAATCTAAATAATATAGTTTAAATTGCAATCTGATTCAAATCGATTACACAATCCAAATAATGTTACTTAAAGTAACTAATCAAAGAACAATTTGGATCGGACTTATGGGTTCAGATTATTTGATCTATGTACCTAATACCCTCTAAAACATTTACCATATCAATTTTCTAGAGATATTACTTATTAGTGAATAGAGCTGCAAGTTTAGTCCAGACCGAATGGGCCGGCCCGAGGCCCTCTATTGTTGGCACGAGTCCCATCCTAATTTCTGAGCCAGACTGAGGTTTTAAGTCCAGAAGCTTATTCATGCCGGACCGGGCCTCTCCAAATAATATCTTTGTATTTTTATTTTTGAAAATATCTTATAAAACTCTTGACTGAGTCAGGCCAGTCCTAGGCCTGTCGGACTTTAGGGTCGTGGCAGACAGTCTGAACGTTCACCTTAACTAGTGAGCATACATCATGTTGACTTATTTTTTAATGAGTTTCTTAAGTAACTTGGTTTCTCTTATGGGTGGTTGGGATCCACTTGTCTAAATTCTTAAAAAGTGAACTTACATGTCAAGAAAATGAGAGTTTAGGGACCTAACTGTCAAATTTTTTTAAAATGAGAAACCAAGTGCCAAGAAAATGAGAGTTTGAGAAACTAATTGTTCAAATTTTCAAAATGAAGATCCAAGTGCCAAATGTCAGAAAGTTAATGTTCTGTAGATGCAAAAGCACTTTTGTTTTTGTTTTTCTCTTGCTATTAGATTATTTCTCGAACCTCTTTGATAAACTTTAAATGTGGCTTCTCTTTTTATAAAGAAAAACTAGGACAACCAAATTTAAAGTGTACCCTTAATGAAATAATCTGAGGTCTTTCACCCTCGCACTATCAGAATAGGTGCAGGACACCTTACCATAAAGGTTGATCAATGTACTATTTGTATGTAAGTCAATAATCATTCGGCTTATTTACAGCCCGTTTAGTTCGCTGATTCGAATTGAGATGTGATTTTATGTGAGAGTTTTTTACTGTAGCAAAAAAAAAAAAAAATAAAAAAAAATAGATGTGACTGTTTCTGAGAGCTTTTTACTATAGCAAAACTCAAATCGGTGAAATAAACAATGCCTTAAACTCCATAATTTAACATGATCATATACCACTAGTATAGAAATAGACCGCAAATTGTTGATGATAAGCTTCAATAATGCTTATTGGCAATTGTTATTCCAGAATAGATGAAATTACTATGTATGTATGATACTGTATCCTTTTCGTTTTTCTTTTTCTTTTTTTTTTCCTTTGAAAGGAAAATATGAGATTTATTAGTCGAATCAACAGAATCAACGACCATAATATCCGAAATATATAGCGAGACCTCTTTTAATTAAAATTGGCACGAATAAAGAAAAGGGGAGAATGAAGTATGGCAAGCTATCGTGTGGGTTGTATCTAAATTTATCATATTGTAATATAGTAAGGATCACTAAATTATTTTTTTATGTGATAGTTTATTTTATTAACGTATATGTTAATATTATTTTTAATGATGAGAAAGAAGAATTAGTATAAAAAAAAATTTAGGACATCCCAATTAAATTGGCACCTAATAACAGTTCATGACTCTTCCCACACTAAACACCTAACTCAAATTTATTAAACAATAAGAAAGGGAAATAAGAGTTACAAGACTCAAGAAGAAAAAGAATGCCTCATTCATTTCACCGATTCGAGTTTTCAATTTCAATTTTGCTATGGTTAAAAACTCTCAGAAACAGTCACATCTAACTTTTTTACTACAGTTAAAAACCCTCACATAAAGTCACATCTTAACTCGAATCAGCGAACTGAACGAGGCCGAACATTAGTAACCATTCATAGGAAATATTGAAGGGAAAAGGATAAGCCAAAACTCCTCCTTCAGAAGTCAATCCTTAAAATAGTATTTTTTTAAAAAAATTTGCCAGAAAAACCAAAAGATATAAAAAATGCTTGCTTATTACAAAATCTTAAAATCAATTACTTACTAAAATCTTTAAAAAATATGGTTGTAATAAACACTTGATGAAAAGTCACACTTTGTTATTCTACTATTGTAATTTTTAAATGTGATTTTTTTTCTATCTTTCATTCTACTGTTTTATAGCAAAGGAAAAAGCTCTACGAAATTAAACGGACCTATAATGTGTTTTTTACACACATCTATAAGACAAATAATTTCAAGCACAGAAAAATTTTTTTTTTGATGAAAAGAAAAACAGAATAATCTGTGTATTTATTTTCAGTCATTGCAACAAATAATTAATAAAAAAAAAGAAACTTACATTTATGTGGTTGCCCAACTGCAAGATCAACTTTTTGAAGAAGCATTAAAAAGCTTACACTCTCCCATTTAAAAAAAAAAAAAAAAAAAAAAAAAAAACATTTATTTCTGCATCTTATTTCCTCCTTTTCCCCCCGAAACCAAGTGGGGCCCTATATAATTCTATCCTACGTACGTACCCCTTTAGTGTACCATGTGCTACCTTTTTATTCCATAATTTATGCATGTGTAGCAGCCTTGCTAGCTCATCCTCGTAGATAAACATTAAACCCTAATTAAAGAGAGGAAAAAAAAAAAAAAAAAAGCTGTAAAAATTAAAGTTAAAGTTGGTATTGCCTGATCTATTCTTTGCTTTGTCTCCGGTCCTTTCACTTTCAATATTCACGAATCACATTACACACCAACCAATACCATCTTTTCCCCTCCTATTCTTTAATATTGGATTCCCTATCTCCCAAAATCCATGTCACCCCCCACATGTAATTACTTTGATTTGTAGGCCCCACTCCGCAAATTTTCTTCGATAATTCTATTTACAAAAGAGGGCCTGAGGATATTCATTTTTGTGCAGTCAATGAGCTTTTGCAACATTCATGATATATCTAGTCATTGCCAAGCAAGATTCTCTTGTGGGTCAGTGTGCAGGGAAAAAAAGTGGCGAGGAATCTCTTTGAAGTTTCCCATCCAAAATTCTCACTTTGCTCATTTTTTCTTCACACCAATGCATTTGTTCTTCATTCAGCTCTTTCATCCTCAAAACCCTAGAAACCACCTTTAGATCTATTAAACCCATCACTATTTCCATCCCATCATCCAATTTCAATTTTCTTCTTCTCAAGCATTTTTGGGCCCGGCGAAGATCTTTAAGCTTTATCTTCTTCTGTAGATAGAACGGAAGGGAAATTATAATGAGTTAATTAGATAAAATAATAAACTAGAATACTTCTAATTAAAGTAGAAAAGAGAAAACAAAAAAAAAAATTATAATAGACTTACTTTTTGATTGACTTTCTTCATGAGATGAAGAAGTGTTGGATCTACTGAACCTCTTCGTTTTCTTTTAAACAAAGATGATATAAATTTGCAGGGATTTTCCTTATCAGCCTTGAGAAAATTCATGAAAGTATGGATACAATCTTCCATTATGATAAGAAAATCAGGTGAAGAAATCCTTGAGCCCAAACCGTCTTCCCTTTGATCATCTTCTAAATCTTTCAAAAGGAATATATAAAATAACCATTAACTTTAGGACTATAACAACCTTTTACAAATATAGACTATGATAGCAACCTTTTTTCAAGAATTTGTTCTATATTTAGTGCAGTTTTTTTTTTCCATGCCATTCAAACCCAAAAAATTTTACAAATAAGAGGTACTACAACTTTATATTAATACTAAAAACATGGTGAACTTTTTTTTTTTTTGGTTCCTTTTTTCTTTTTTAACTCACAGAAGAAGAAAATTGACATTAGGAATCGTTAGAATATTCCAGTTAGACCGGCACTCATTAGTATCCCGAAAGCACGGTGATTTTTTTATGATACTAATTTAATATGATAGTCGTACAATAGTAATATCAGTTATATAATAGGGTGACGATTACAAATTATAATAAAGTGACAGTTTTAATTTTTTGTAATGTATAAATGTTATTGATGGTCAAGCCAATCTGGTATAGATTAAGGCTCCGTTGATTTCACTGATTCGAATTTTGCTACAATCATATCTAACTTTTTTACTACAGTAAAAAGTTTTCACGTAAAGTCATATCTCAATTCGAATTAAAAACTCAAATCCGGCTTAAAGTAGTAAAAGAGATTGATTTTGTTTTTGAAGAATACCTCGGTATTCGGGAACTTGAAGCAACTTTGGTGCCAAAAGTCTCATCCTTGCATAAATTTCAGGTCTTCTCCCCTGCTCATAGGGCTCATTCTCTACGTACCTTTGTAGAAGGACTTGAAACTGCTGAAATTGCTGCGCAATTTGGCCTGGACAACCAGGTTCAAAATCACCATGTAAAGCTTTCTTCTGTTGAAACTTCTTGTAATTCCAATTAAGAGCTTCCCAAGTCAAGCAGATTTGAGCCGCATAAGCAGCCTCCAATTCGTGATAAGGGTTCCGCCGAATCTCCTTTGGCGTTTTGTTCGCCGTAGCGAACTTGTGGACAATCCTCTCCGAAACTGATCTTGGAGAGACTTTTATTGATCTTAGCGATTCTGACATTCTCGTCGTAAATTAAAAAAAAATTTAGAGTAAGAAAATAAATAAATAACATTAGTATCATATACATACACGTCAACTCTACAATAGACTACGTAGTTTACTCCTGACATGATTAAAAATTTACAGATATCTGGCAAAAATGATTTTAATGAAAAAAAAATTTTGGGTCAGTTTTATATCAGTTATATCTTCTCTGTCATTTACTTAATATAATATATAAATTATTCTGACCTGTTTCATGGAGCTTTTGAGCACTAATTCTATCTAGGAACATCATTTCTTCATCATATTTCTGAAAAACAGTGTAAGACTCCCACTTGGGGCAACTCCTCCTTGATGAAGAAGAAAATGGATCTTGATCAGTCCCGGAATCTCTATAATTAATTGAGCTTCGCCATTCAGAGGAGCTCTTAGAAGTTGATCCAACCGTACAAGAATCCCCAAACACTTCCTCTTCTTCATGATAAATAATGTCTTTCTCTTTCGCTAGAAACTTCTTTGTCTCCAACTGGGTCGGAGCAAAACTAATAAACTTCTCATCCCCGGAGAAATTTGTGTCCATCTTGGTCTCACTGTTAATCTTATCATAAACATATTCTGCAACAACATAAACAATATTAATTACTGATAAGATATTAATTATGTAACGCATGAATATGTACAATTATATGCATATGCAAAGTACAGCATGTGACTATAGCTATATATTGTAACAATTTTATTAGATATATACAAGCTGTACATGATGTAAGTATATATATATAGTACCGTCACAGATCATTTTTTCACCGTCCATGACCAAATCATGATTCCGTAAGTCTATAGTTATGATGGGCGATGTGGGCCATCCTTCGTTGTTTGAGACACGATTATTGTGAAGCGAATCTGAATCTCTTCTCGCCGGGATTTCTTGTAGTACGGTATCATCGCGATCATGATTACCGTCGTTGTAGTCAGATTCCGAGTCGCTGAGGTCAGTGTCATGCATGGACAAGAGTTCAGTGGCGTAATTTGGATCATCTTCGGCGACGCTCTCGTGCGGGCTTACGAACTCCTGATCCGAGCTGAGATTTTGGTCGGTTTCGCTTTGAACGAAACCGACGCCGTTTGGTAAGAACAGCAACGCTTCGCCTCCTCGAATGATGTCTGCCACCAAATGGTCGTCAAAGCTTCTTTCCTGTACTTCTTCCTCTCCCTCTTCCTCTTCTTCCTCGTCCGAAAACATGTTGTAGTCATATCCATTTTGGCTCCTGAAAAGCGAACGCAAAAAAAAAAAGAGTTATTTTTTTTTTACAAAGTTTATATGAAATTATAATATAGTAAAATGTTGTTAATGACAATATCATATGGTAGTGCCTTGGAAATATTGGATTGCGACCAACAAAGTGGAAGAAGTTGAAAAGGAAAATGAAGGAGAGAGAAGAGAAGAGGAAGAGGAGTTGGAAAAGGCTTGAGGCATTGTGGAAGAGCCTAACGAGAGCTTCTTCTCTCGAACATGGCATTTTCTTTTTGTGTTTGTTTGTTTGTTTTTGTTTGGTTTCTTCCACTCTTGTTGCCTGAAAATGAGTTCCTAGCTAAGCAATGCTTTTACAAAGCAAATTAAAGTGGAGTCTTCCGTGGGAGAGCGTTTTCTTTAGTTACTTTCGCTAATATCTCTTCCTTGTTGGTCAAAATTGTTCTTTATGTTTTTCAAAATGTCCATTATGTCCTCAAAGGCTGAAAATTGAACACTTTTTTTTTTGTCGTTTTGTTTTTTTTTTTTTTTTTCTCTGTCTTGGATGTTGGACTTTAGCTTCTTTAGCAATGATCATGTAACAATCATTAAATATGGAGCTAGTAAGGGTGAATTTGTCATTGACATGGTTGGATCGGAACAAAGGACAACAAACTGCGGCTAAGGGACAATATCATTGCTAAACAAGGCTCACTTTTTTCATTCTATATAAATATTAGAGCCGTTTAATTTGTTGATTCGAGTTTTTAATTTAAGTTGAGATGTAATTTTATGTGAGAATTTTTTACTGTAATAAAAAATTAAATGTAGCTGTTTTTGAGAAATTTTTACTGTAATAAAATTCAAATTCTAAACTCAAATAAGTGAAATAAACATTACCTTATTAAAGAAAAAAAGAAAATCATTTCCCATTACTCAATCTTTAGGATATGTTACATATTCATGCATTTCCTCATTTGTAATTGATCGGAACAATCGAACAAAGATTTGAGCAAGCAACTTATATTCTCTCCGTTTGTTGGTCCAAAGTTCTGTTTAAACTTTAGTGATTTCTTAATTATCAACCGAACTCGTAATAAATCAGATGATCTAGTATTTGTAAATTGGTTATAAAATACTTTGTACATGTTTTAATACACAGCTGAATACGACTACACATGCATATGTAATTATATATCTAAGATTAGAAACAAAATAAATATTGTTTTGATTACTTTGGTATATTTTTCAACAGATTCACCATATAGAAGCATAAGGTCAAATCTAGGATCTAAAGGATCACTTATAATATGTTGCATGTGCCTGCATTTTGAATCAAGAGATGGTAGTTTTAGAATCATAATTTGAGCTAGTTTAAAACATCACATCAGATTCTAAATCATGATTCATAATCATCCAAACTAAACACTGATTAAGAATCATGATTCTAAATCAGGATTCAGAATCAGGATTCAGAGTCATGATTCTGGATCCATCTACTAAACGCACCCTTAGAGCTCATTTAGTTCATTGATTCGAATTGATATGTGATTTTATGTGAGAGTTTTTTACTGTAGCAAAAAAGCTAGATGTAACTGTTTCTGAGAGCTTTTTACTGTAGTAAAACTCGAATTCTAAACTCAAATCGGTGAAATGAACGAGGCCTTAGTAAGACGCTTTGCATTAAAAGTAGCACAAAACCTTGAATTATACCGTGTATTTGAGCTATAATCCTGGGTCTCTAAAAAAGGGCTTATAGACTTCTTATCCACAAAATTAAATAGATCAAATATAAACAAAAATAAAAAGAAGAGACCAATACCAAGCGTATACACAATATTTATACACGTATGGATGACACTTTTAAAAAGACATATTATACATTTAAAACTAATCTTTCCGTCAAAAAAAAGTTGTGAGAACATACTGCACAATTTAATAAATAAATATATATTAGCAAGAATTTGCAGAGGAATATTTATAAATATTGTATTGTTTCAAGGGTTTGGGGTTGTTTAAGTACTGATGGGCTGTGAGGCGTATTCCTTGCGTCCAAATGGAATAAAGAGACTTTTAAAAAGGTGATCAGAGAGAGCAGGGACATTGTGTTGTCCAATTGGGATTTCTTATTAGTTATAGCAATCTTATTAATTTAGTTTGTTCTTTATTTGTCTTTAACTTTGCCACTAAGATTTCTGCAGACTTTACTGACTGCCCACAATTGATAATTCAATGTCACGCATCGACAAACAATATTGTATTATTTCTAGATGCTTCCAAATTGTACAAAATTATCCACTACATATGTGGAAAGTCCATCTTACATAGCTAGCTAGTTTTATACTTCCACATAAGTATGTACCATCTTACTATTTCATATTAAGGCCAACAAACTTAAAAAAAAAAAAGATTGGTTTTATGCTCGTTCTATTTTTCTTACACCCTTTCTTAAATCACCCATCAATTAAATTTTAAATTTTAATTATTACGTGCCCCACTTAAAGTTTCAAAAAAATCCTTATATATAAATTGCATTTGTCGTGTTTAGAATTCATCTCGTTTTTATTTTTCACGTTTTTCAAGAAAAAAATAAAAACGTTTTTAAAACGGCGTTTGGCGCAATAAAGACAAAAAAAAATGAAAATGATTTTTTGGTTTAGTGTAAAATGAGAGAAAAATAAAAAAATAATTTTTTTTGTTTTCGTTTTCTCATCTCTCGAGCATAGAGAGAGATATATATTAATGAGTTTTTTATACTGAAAATAATCTCTTGATAAAACTACCAAACGCATTTTTAAAAATAATTTCTGTCTGAAATTGAAAACGTTCTCATTTTCATACAAAAAATAAAAATCATTTTAGAACGAGTTTTAAACGCGCCCATTGTTTTTTCTTTTTTCACCCATCTACCAACTAAACTACTTACCATTTTTTTCCATACTACTATACTAAACATTACATAAAACTAAGATATCAGTACATTAGGCTAACCATTTATCTTTTTCAATCATGTTTATTGCATTGTAATGTTCTTTTTTTGGTAGAAATACTTGATGTGCTTTTATTGTTGTTTTTTTTTTTTTTCATGTGTGTTCTTGCATTTTTATTATAGGATCAAATGTATTATTTAGAAAATTTAATCATTTATTCTTCCGGTTGAAGGTATGCCACACTTTGTTTATCAGAAAAAACCTTATAATACAAGATCATAAGAATTATTTTTGTCAAACGTTAACAAGTGATTCAAAATGCAGGATCTCAAATAAATCATAGGGCACAATAATTTTTGAAGATATATATTATTTTAAGATGGGGAGTGTAATGAGTATTTTTTTAAAATATTCTTATCTTTAAAAGTAATTTTATTAATAGAAAATTTAATAATAATAAAAATTATTTTTAAAAAATATTTATTAAAAATATGAGAAAAATATAATGAGGTGTTGGTAGACGCACCATTATAATCGTTTTTGGGTACAAATGTGCATCTACCTTCAAGTGTTCGTAAGAAGAGCCTGAGACTATTATTATCCAGGAATATTTGTGCTTTAGGTAACACTTTATCTTATGATCTTCAAAATATTATATCCGTTCCCCCTTAAAGTATGAATCGTTAACAAAAACCCTCCTTCTATTACGGTTCTATTACGGGGTTTAACAGAAAATACATAATACCAAGGTATTTTGGTATTTCTAACTATTCTTAAAAAAGATTAGTTTGTAAAAAAATATTTTTTATTTTTAATTTACATTTAGTGTATTATATACAGCCTGTGGTAGAGTCAGGATTTTGTTTTAGAGGACGCATAAAATAAACATATTGAAAATTTTGAAAACTATAACAAACTCAACTTCTAATAATTCTTTTCTTTTTTTTTTTTGCTTTAAAATACTATAAACTAGTTGGAATAATTTCATGCATGTGCATATTGATCAATTTATTGAACTTTTTAATATATGAATTTAAAATTTTAAAGAGTTTAGTTTTTTTTTTTTGAATTTATTCCTCTCTTAAGAGTTTAGTGTAGTAAAATAGTTATATTTAAATAAAATAGACTAAAATGCGCATTTCATTCCAGATATATTTTTGGATGAATAGTATATATGTATAGATAATTAGAATATTTTTGAGAAATAAAGATTTTAGCAAGTAAATTAAATAAAAGATTTATTTAGGGGTACATAATACGTATGAGAAAAATAGTAGTTGAGAAAATTTATTACTTCAACAAGAAAATATTAGAGAATATCTGTTTATAGAATGTGTAATTGAGAGGGTTATTTGAATAAAAAAAAAATCATAAATTACGGACACAATTGAGTAATATTATTTTAATGAGTCCTTAAATTTTTTTTTAAGGCTCTTTTTATTGATATAATAAAGATTATATGAAAAAATATTAAAGAAGGGACCAATTTAAAAGGAAAAATCTTTTTGTAAGAGTAAATTAGAAAAAAGTAATTCAATTTGGTATATTTAAACATATAAGATTTAATAGGAAAAGACAAAAACACAATAAACAGAAAACCAAAAATTCAGGGGTATATATGCTCCCCCGGGCCTCACGTCTCTCCACACTGTATACAACATTTTTATTTAATTTCAATTTTTTTTTTTGGAATGTGAGATTCTGCAGAAAGTTATCAAAATATATTGTAAATTAAATCAAAATTAAAGAACATACTATGACCTTAAAAGTTATTAGTTTTAATTATTATTTTTTGCTAAAAGAGTTTCAATTAATGAGTTAATAAGAAGAGTAATATTAAAAATTTTGTTTTATTATTTTGTTTATTTATTATTATATTAAATGAAAATTAGAATACATTTTTTTAAAAAAAAAATTAAATTTAAGTGTAGTGATGGGTAAGAAAGTAATGTGCATCAAACTGTTTAACAACAACTAATATTTGTATGACACGTGTCACTTTTGTTCATCCACTTTAGAGAGAGTTCTTACTTCTAAATTTTTGTTCAATATTTTTTAACATGAAGGGTAACAACTTCTAAACAAAATTTCTGCTCATAACAAAATGAAGCGCCAAAATACAAACAAGAAAGAAATAAAAGTTTATCAATTTGTTCATAATTACCCTTTTCTCAAAAGCAAAAAGGACTAAACAACGTGACCATAATCAGACATATCCACAAAAAGCACAAAAATCATGTAAAATAGAAATTAGTAGATTGTTATTAAAGTTCCTATATTCTGAATTTCAGCTGAAAAAAATTGTAATTTTTTTTTTTTTTTTTTTTTTTTTTTTTTTTTTCCTTATAAGCTGCTATTTCCAAGTTGGCGAGATGGAAAAAGTCCAATT